CAAAAACATTATACCCTGATTTCCCATTTTCAATGGGTTCAGGGTATAAAAAAGTTTAATCTGCTAAAGTTTTACATTAAAGAATTAATAAAAATTTTTAATTGTATTTTATTTTGTTTTACATTTCATAATTTACTAGCGAAATTTGCATATATGCGACTTTATAAAAATATAAGTCTGTAATTTCTATTAATCCGTGAAGTGAAACATATTTCGATCTTAGCTTAGTGACAATTAGCAAAATGAAATCTAATATTTTGTTACACTATTATCCTTCAGACTAGCTTCGTGTGCCTTGAATAAATATTAATATATCAACTAATGACTTCACAGCTTAGAGAAACGTTTGCTTCAGTTTGCTGCTCTTGACGAGTGACTGAACTGAGCCTGAGGATCCGACTACTAGTATATCATTCCTTGCGATGCTTAGTAACGGCTTTAAAATATTTTTCGATAATCTCGCTTACTGGTGGGCCGTACAAGCTGTCCGCTAAATCCATTTTACAGTGACTGTTAATGTTCACGTCCACAAATGCAGTGTCAGAGTGGATAATGCGCTCACGGCGCAGCCATTTGGACGACATTGGGCGATCGATGCGATGAAGACTTAGGAGGTGTTCATAGTGCTCGGACATTTTTCGTACTTCCAACTCGTTAATGTTGGATAGATCCAGATGGGGCTGTCGCAATATGTGATACGGATCATTCTCGAGTGAGTAGTGCTCCTCGCGGACCGCTAACCAGTTGAGGTTGAGGAGTGTGTCGTATAGTTTCCTTGGGTGTCCTTTAATGCCGTGAGTAACGTCAATCAGATGCAGCTGTTGACTGGGCATGATATACTCAAGCTCAAGTTTGGCAATGCGTAGATCTGTGCCGCGATATTTGCGCTCTGCTGGAGTGAACTTTAAATATTCCGATTTATTAACAATGAAATGCCCGGAGCGAAACAAACGATTCATCTCCATCTCAATCACGTGGTATGCCCGTCTATACCAGTTGTTCCGCCATGGATCCTTTTCATTCGGAAGGCGAGCCACAATCTTAACTAACTTAACAATTTTGTTGAAGATTAAGTCTAGTAGCTGGTAGAATTAATTAGTAAAATATTGAACAGTAAAATCATGTGAGCCTAACAAAATCGTTCTAATAATGAAATTTTAGGAAAAATTTTTCATATATCTAATTTTGTAATTATATAAATTTAATATATATATTTAGAGAATCTTTTTCTAGCGCATAATCAGAATATAAAATAACATATATTCTTAACCAGGGTAACGAGCTGAGCCAATATAGCAATGCCCGCGTGTCCGTCCGTCTACTAATCCGAATGGCAGTTTCGTTTCGTTGAACCGAGAGACCTCAGACTTTATATGTGTATATAATCAATAGAATGAGTGGAATATCAGCTCTTCACACGGTTTAGGGTATCTCCTAGTCGAGCAGTCTCCCAGACATACAATCGGGACTCAGGGAATCACGTTGACGGGCACCTCCGACTAGAGCTTTTTATACCCTGAACCCATTGAAAATGGGAAATCAGGGTATAATGGTT